ATGAATTATAATGAACGCTTTTTATGTGTCGCAACATAACGTAATGTCCACAACATATTTCAAAACAACTGACTAACAACTTTCCAACATGCTTGCAAAAAACTCAGTAATAAATTTCAGAGACAGTTTAGTTTTGGCCTGATGATTAACAATGGCAATGTTTCCATTGTTCAGCAATAAATAAATTTATTATTCTTTGAACCAAGTTAATTAATTCACAAGCTGGTTACTGAGCCGCGAGTAATGGAAACTATTTCATACATATTCTGTCCAAGAATTATTTTATTGATCTTCCTAATCATTTTATCATCACCCATCCTAAACAATAGTAATGAGGCAATCTAGTAATGACTGTTATATCCAATTCTATAACAGGGTGATGTTTTCGATATTTACTTTGATTCCAACAGAACATTAAGCATTCGGTTCACATACTCATTTCTCCCCCTCAAGGAATTACGGCCGTGTAATCATAGCAGATGAATTCCTAGGAACAGAAGAGCATTAAACTAAGGAATCCTCCGCGATCATAATCCCACTCTACCCATGCACCAGTGCGCAGAACTGAAGATTTCTGAATATCCATCAAAACTTTCCTAAAGCTTGAGCGTCAAGAATGCGGTGACCTCTTCAAGGTTGACGTCGAATTTATGGGTTAGAACAAGGATGCGCTAGCGCCATTCAATTAAATGACACGGAATGATTCTCATTACTGGGAGTCTTATATAATAATGATTATTTTTATTTAAAAAGATATTTCTATATTTAGGTCATCTTGATAGTTATTTTACAGAGGATGTTAGCACATTTTTAGAATGATAACGATAAAGAATTAAAAAGTTAAACGTTAAATTTATTAAACGTGAAGTTATTAAATGTGAAATAAAAATGTATACTAATAATTTGAGATAAGAACTACCAGCTGCTACACTGAAATACAGCCTTCTTTCAAAATGTCTCAAAAAAATATGGATTGAAGAATATCCTTTTGCCATTTCAAAAGAATCATTATTTATTTTCGTATTCCCGGAATTCAAAAGCGTTGTAAATGGTACGAATTTTGCAAGTTGCAATCTAACAACATAATTAATCAGAAAGGAACAAACGTAAACTTTAATTATTATTACTTTTATATGAAATGAACATTTGGAAAAGAATACCCCCAAAATAATGCGTACCTTTTCTAATGTTTTCTAAGTGAGAACTTTGGTAACAGTAGAAAGGAAATATGCCGACACACAAATCAGTTGCAAATACTTGAAATAATATTGACTAAAAAGACAAAGAGAGTAATAATCAAAACTTACAGTGCGTAAATGAATGCAAGAAACATAATTCTATTTATTATCGAAAATGATCAAAACGTGTGTACAAACCTGTATGTTCCAACAATGTAAAGAAAGTTTTAATAAGGAGTTAATTATTGTTCGAGGCAGCTTCCATAGTAGTAAATAAAAGATTATTGAGAGAGGGCAATGTCAAAAAAGGAATTGTTTATTTCCTCAGGAAATCGTTTTGCGTATTAGAATTCCACTGTTTTATTCTAACAGTTTCCAAAAAGTAAAATGCACCAAAACAAAATTACTAGACCTTACTAAGAAAGCTACCGCTTCATTCCTTAAAAAATTATTACTACTACAGATATCGAATGTATAAAACTTTCAATATAACTCTAAAAAGTGCCTTCGCATTTCATATGTAAATAATGTGTCTCTTGCTGGCTTTAATCCTATCTAATGCTGTAACTTTCTTAAAGAGGAATGGATAAAAATAGCCACTGAAATTTTACGAAAAGTCTTCTATCATTCAAAGCACGATTAGGGTTCATAATCTGGAACATTAGTTATCAACTCGAATATTGAAATAATAGATATTTAGTTTTTAAATTTTTAAATATTAAATAAAAGGCCCTATTGCTTTTCAAAATGCACTCGCTGCATTTGTTTGAAGTACTTTATATCAAATATATTAAATATGTAAGTTTAAAAACCAAGTTACTTATTATAAGCAATATACAAGCTGCACTAGCAGACGCTAGTGCAGAATACGTATTTTTGTAAATTTTACCTCTCAACATGACAACAGCTGATGATTTCTGTTTTACCTCACAACAACTTTCGTATTTCTTATTCGGTCTGAAACGTTTTATTCATTCGCATACAGAACCTTTGCAAAATCAGACTGAAAGCTCTCATTATTATTCGCACTTCACAAACAAATAAAAAACAGAATAAAAGTTAAAGGTATTGAATCAAGCCATCATACGTTATAAATCATTATTTCAGGCATGCTCATTAGTGGGTTCTAGATGGGAAAAAATACATGCGGAATCCAAGTATAAATCCTTAATACAGCGAAAGAAGACGACCACTTTTTTGTAAAGAATGTTGTTTAGCTGGAACACATTTCTGTTTGAACTGAAATTTACAGCAAAATTCATTTAAACATTTTAGCAGGCATCTTACTGCTAATGCATCTTGAATGCTTTACTCCTCCCAGATGAAATATGATAAAGCACACGAAGGTTATCTGTCTAGTGGAAGGGATGCCTTCGTTGGGCCCTTTCCGAGGAAAATTTCGTTCCCTCATTACAGGTGTGGAAACCCACGAAAGCCTCTATGCAGACAGTCTGTTCACCGAGAAACGAAACCGAGTCGAATTAATAGTATTCAGCCGTCTTAACCACTCGACAATGGTTAGACTCTAGAACTTAAAAGAATTTAAATTTATGCTTACTTATATTTCGCATGTAAAACATATATAAACGGCATTTATTCGCTCTTCTTACGCGATATCTATGTAAGCAATTTCCCTGATCATTGATCTGACTTTGGTGCAAAATTCTTGTGAAACTGATGGCCCACGTTTCTTGAAAAGTCTTCTTCAGTTAACCCTTTATTTCCGCTTGCATTTTAGCATTTCTCCGACACACATCCTCCTGTGGGTTGTATCAAATTTAATAATATGGCTCATCATCATTGTTTGATTTTACTTTCTACTGCCCAAGACCCATTTTTCTAGTACAATAATGTCGAAGGACTATACCCATTTGACGACGTTATCTCTAACTTTAATCTGAGCCACTTAATAATAATATAATATTAAATATAACAATAAATAAGAGCAATACTTTATCTCTAGTTTTAATCCGGGGCACTTTCCAAGGAAAATAAACAAAATCCTTTCCTAGAAAATATTCCCACCTTACAACAAGTGTTGCATTATCATAAAGTGCACTTGACAGGCTTTTCCTCGAAGTACTCATTGCAAAATAAGACAGACCGTTGACTGCATGAAATCTTGAAAATACAGCGAAAAAGTAGACATATTTAATGGAAATCCATTGGGAATTAAATGATATGAGATGAACTCACCACATAAATGCACGTCAGACACTTTTGCAATTGCGACGTGCTTCTCCTCTAATATTGTGTTCATTTTACGCGCAGTACCCTTCAAACGACCCCTTCAACATTTCTTTGGATATTTCTATGTCCGTTACCTCCATCCATACAGGATTGCAAACAGCAGTTAGGCCAACTCATCCTCCGCTATTATGACCTTTGTGGGCATTGAATTGTCACAATGGATTGCCAACAGATAGTCAGGATTACATTAGTACACCAATATATTACACTATACTCGCTAGCAATATGTTACATTATTAAATGCGTATTACTTTCTAGCAGTATATTACACTATTATTAGACTGCTAATGTACAGCAATTCTTCAAACAAAGCAGACTATCCTCGCTCCATAATTCTGCAAATATTTAATTTTATGAAAGGATAATCCAAAATATAGGCTATTTTTGATAGAAATCATTAATAATCTCTCCTTGGTACATCAAAGTTTAATGAAACTATTTTCCTTTCAATGAGAATTCTAACATTAGACTCTTTCAGACAACTCTAGCTGATCTATTGCATCACTGCGCTTTTTCTTTATTTCTGAAGAGCCTTTTTACGCATCTGAAACACGAATCATCATTTCACATATTTTCCAAGTTTTAAACAAACTAGAGAGGTCAACAGATGATATTCAGTTATATTTTTTTACATGCGAAAGGTATTATTGCTTTAAAAATTTACAGCCGAAAAGTATCTCCCGACTACTGAATGCAGGTAAATTTAATTTCTCCAAATTCAGGTCCGTTGAAAACTTTTAAGAGTGTACGAGATGCTTATAAAAATATTAGTTTCGGCGTTTGTAACAAAGCATAATTCGAGAAAGATAATTTTCTTAGAATCTAAAAACACATTTCTTTCTCATTGTTTATAATATTCAAATCTAGAATAAGCATGCATTTACTTGTAACCTGTAATAAAATTTCAAATTACTTACCGATACTGACAGGTTTTTCTTGATTGATAGTGCGAAGCTTTCTGTAATGTAATGCGCACATTTATTATCAATTTCTTTAAATATTCTTTTGAGCCCAAATTTTGTTACTGAGGTTATCAGTAGTCTCACAAATGTCAATATTTTAAAATATATTCATGTTTACAGTAATTGATTATATACAGGTTTGTCTAATACATATATGATAATTATTTTTGAAAATGATTGGTTGCTAATTCAGAAGTCAAACAACAAAAATCAGCGTTAATTTTCCAAACTTTCACAGGACTAGTTTCGATGGTTTTACCGAACCACCATCCTCAGCTGCAAAACCGCAAATGAACAAGATAGGAAAAAAGATGGGAGATTCCTATCTTGTTCATCTGCGGTTTTGCAGCTGAGGATGGTAGTTCGGTAGAACCATCGAAACTAGTCCTGTGAAAGTTTTGAAAATTAACGCTGATTTTTGTTGTTTGACTTCTGAATTAGTACTTATTCGGCGTGTTATTGTGTCTTGATTGGTTGCTACTTTTGTAAATTCTTTTATTGTAATTTCTTCATCCGGTAATTATATCAAGTATATTATACGTACAGTTCTGAGAAGTAATTTCCTAAATTTAGACCCTTTTATAATATTGGATAAAATTTTCTTCTATAGTGCCACCCCGTTGGAGGATAGAACCAGGTGATACAAGTGTTACTAAGAGCCGCTCTGCTGTTGTCGACTGCCAAGCTGATGGTTTTCCTATTCCACGAATTAGATGGACCAAAGCAGAAGGTAAATAAGTTACGTAATACTTACTGTATTGTTTGCTTACTGTATAAAAATTTATATGCATTTTTACAGATTATGACAGGTATTCGTAAGTTACACTAATAATAGATTTAAACTCTATTCAATTCTTCTTGGCTTTTGTCACAATACACTCTCAGACTAGAAAGTGTATGTGTAAATTAAATTGTATGTATCAGTTGTATACGTAACTGTATAACATATTGCATTGTTATTTTAAATTCGGAAACCCGCCAAACATAGGTGATAAAAATTTGGATTTATGTGTTGTATTAGCAGTTAACTAGTTATCAGGAATAATGATTCCTCAATCCGTTCATTTAATCACTGTGTTTAACTTTTGATAGCAAAGTTAATTTCCAACCACAGAAAAAATTAAAAGGTAAATTCTTCCTCAAAATAGAATTTAAAAGGTTAAAGTGATGATATTCAGACACACAAAAGTGTTATTTTATTTAATTTTTTCCTAAAAACCTATGATATTAAAATATACTTCTTTTTTGCTATTTTTATTCGCTACGTTTTGAAGGACCTAATATAATACAAACAATTTGGAAACAAAGAATTTATTTCATATTTGACTTCTTCAAAAGGTTGGTTTTATCGATGTGGCAACAGCTATTCGTAAGTTTTCTGGTGGTACTTAAAAGCATATATACAGAGAGCCTACATAGTAAATAAATAAATACCAAAGAATAAAATAACATTATTAAATGGTAGAAACTGTATTACGAATTTCAAGCGAAATGACCTCTCCTCACAGTTTTCTTGACGATAAATATAATTACAATACCCTGAATATCAACAATTACAATATCAACAGAAATTTATAATAGTGACTGAAAATATATTTTGTCAATATGGTTTAAATTCGATATATACTCATATAAATGGAGCAATCATTATTATGCGTCTCATTTTATCAATCCACATTAACTCTTTAAGCAGTAAACTCAATTAATATAATTCAACTAACTTTAGATTTGAAACATTAATTCATTAGTCAAGAAATATATATAAATACAGTTGATTTTATAAGTTGATATGTAAACTTTCTAAATAATCTTTCGCAGCATTTGTTGAATCAGTTATTTTTTTAATTTTTGTGTAGGTGACGTAGCTTCAGAATTTCGACCAATCAGTAGTAGTTCAAGGCTGCATGTATTCGAAAATGGTTCTCTGGTCATTCATAACGTTGAAGAAGGCGATGATGGTCATTATCTTTGCCAAGCGACAAATGGTATAGGCCAAGGTCTTAGCAAAGTTGTGAGGTTATCCGTTCATGGTAAATATTCAATACGAGTATACCATTATTTCCTTTATACTGTCCTATCAACGCATAAATATTTATTGAACTTGGAATAGTTTTCTTTTAAAGCAATACTGTTTAAAATAGAAACACGCTGTCACTTTTTCTACCTAGAGCAACAAACACTTTTCATAGAGTGTTCATGAACTTCTAAAACTTCCTATAATATGGATAAATAGAATAACATAGATGATTTTTAAAAAATGTTTAAGGGCACATAATGCTTTTCTGCAATTTTTAATTTTTTAAATGCTTTTCTGCATGGTTGATATAATGGTATGTCTTCATTTACGCTCCGCTGGTTGCTTGGAGACTGCTTATCTAATCGATAGTATTCTTCCATTTTGAATGCTGGAGAATGTATTATTACTACGGAAAGCTGCAGTGATACGTTTTCTTCGACTTTAATGAAAAGGTTATACCTTTGTTCTCAGACAATTACCTTTATTGTGCAGACAAAATGTTTTTAGTTCAAAGGCCTGAGTACAACGTTTTCCTCATATCTGATATCTCAAATTATCTGCAAAGAGCAAAGCTAAAATCTTTCAGAGAGCTTATAAGCATATTACCCAGCTTTCGTATTTGTAATACTTGGTATTCTGCAGCGTACTTGAATGTAACGCCCACGTTGTGAGTACACACGATGAAAAACGAAATTTCTAGGCTCTAATCCAGTCCTATTGGCGTGATCTAAATCAGCTAAAATCTTCTAAGAAAGAATTGACGTGGGAGGATTATTTTACTGCTAGCTTACTTAGTAAGAGTTCTTACTTAGGCACTGCAAGATATTTTCAGTTTCAGCGATGCCATTATTGTTTCTGTTGCTTAACTTGTCCTGTGAGATTTAACCTTCTCTTTCAGCGACTGCGTAATTGTTGTTTTATGTGCTTAACGTGCTCTATCATACTTAACCACTCACCAGTTCACATTTGCCATCTTTCTGATTGAAAATGTAATTAATTAATTATCATCATTTCAGCATGTTGTTAATCAGGAACCGATTTATGAAAAATCTAAATATTTTAGAGGTAGCTTGGACAACTGGTTAATGGTAACTACCGAAAAGGTGAGGAAAGGCACGATTTTCCTGTCCAAATTTATGCAACAGAAAATAGAGGGTGATAATTTCCTGAAGGAATTTCCTAAATTGAGTTAAACACCTTTAGAATATTAATCAAAAAACTTTTCCTTTTACGTTGGAGGACAATACAGTCGTGACAAGCTTCCAAACTTAAGAAATATGTATCTTAAATTAATTATTTCTATAAATAAAAGTGCAACAAACGGAAACGAAAGTAAGGTTATTTCGAAAAGAAGGTAAGGAAAACAAAAAAATACTTCTAATGTAAATATAACCAATAGAGAGCAATATTGGTTAAGGTGGGTTTTCTATTCAAATGCGCTTTCTTCCTCATTACGCAGTTTCCACATGAATTCATACGGAAGAAGAGTAAATTAATATTTTACCGTCGGAAGTCTTATGTTAGCGTGTACATCTTTCTATACAAAATTGAATTCTATAAAATGTTTCAGATGATTTAGTGTTGGGATCTATGGAAAAGATCCTTAAAAAAAAGAAGGAAAGAAAGAAAAAGAAACTCCAGGTGCTTATGAATATAGCATGTATTCTTTTAAGAAGCATGGTAAAAAATATGCTTTTTTAAATAAGAAAATGAAGATAAAGTTTTCTTAGCGTGTGGTCATAACGCAGAGCTCTATCGAATTGCAATATATTAAACAAAGTTCGCTTTCGCTTGTCATTTGTGATATCTTTTATATTTTATTTACTAATTTAACAAAATCATTGCCACAAACTTCACGAATTCACTGCTATCTTTCAATCTGACATACAAATGATCATTTTGTGCAGTTTGGATAAGGTACAGTATTAAGAAATTCCGTAATGTGCATTTGCTGCTTCTGTGGCACTGAAATAAAATGTGACAGTTTACAAAACAGAAACATTAATAATGGCCCCAAAATGAAGTTACTTTGCTTTGAAAAATTCGCTATGAAAAAAATCATTTCAATCATGAAATTCAGAAATAAATGTAACAGGAAATTACTTTTTTCTCTCAGCTTCTGAATTTAGTTAAATTTACTTTAGCTTTGTTAGCCGAGTTTCTTTGAGTGAACGAGTGAACTGAGTACTTGAGATAAAACATGCAGAAGTCTTGTAAATCTCATATTTTAAACATTTAAATTTTATTTGATGTTTGTCCATGTTTATTTCCCAATTATCGGATATTTTTCTGTCATTACATGTGTAAATTACTAGGCTGAAAAATGAGTAAAAGGTTTTTTTTAGATCATCTGTGTTCCATGTTACTTCTCTGGAACGGACGAGACGATACGTCTCCTGACTCCCTTTAGGGAAATAGAGATGATATGTAAAATTGTCAGATTCCATGCAACGATATGCTTATTTTTAACAAATAATTATCCGCAACTAGAACAAGACAACAAGAACAATAAGAACTAGTTATTGAATGACAGAATGTAACGAAAGAAAATTTCCTTGCAGTGCGTCTGATTTATACATTTTTGACAGCGTTATTGAGTTTCATTATGCTAAAGAGAAATGACCAAATTTTTTAAACATTTGAGTAAAAGAAGTAAAGTATTTTACCTTATTTTCTTCATTTCAATTAACTATTCAAATAAATATTGCAAAATATATTTACATAACAGTAATTATGTATTTTAAATGCTATGAGTTTTACTTAGGCTCAATAGCTACCAGTGTAGTCTTCACTACTGACATTTTTATACTTCCTTCCTCGTTTTTATTCAAATGAATATTTATTACATTCTTATTGCGTTCGTAATAGCTAAACCTCTCTTTCCTAAAGCGCAAGCAGTAACTTACTGTCGAAATAACATCTAAATTTTACATAAAAGTGAAAAAAATGGAAATAAATTATAAATTTTACAAATAAAATTTAATTTTTGTGCAATCTTTTTGGAAACTTTCGTCTCCCTTTTTACAAATATCATCAGTATTGTCGGAGGAAAATTGAAAATAAATTGCAGATAAAATATTTCTCTGAAACTGTCACACATATTTCTACAATTCCCAAAATAATGGATTTCATGAGTTTTTAGAAGCTTTACCACACTGTTCCACTGAAACAAAGTTCCATTCCACTCATTAGGATAATGTTTTCTATAAATTGCAAACTCCAAACCAAAGACATTCGTTTTTGTAAGTGAGCAGTTATTAAATTTTAAAATATCTTCTTCTCATATTTGAAACATACTGTTGTGTGCGCACAGGTTCGTAACTGATTGATTGCACACAAGTCCGATGATAGATTAATAAAATTTATTTTATCAAAAGGAACACATCAGAGTTCTAGAACTGTTCACAGAAATACTTGCACAATTAGTAGTTACACTTCAGACTATTAAAAACGTTAAACACAACGGAATGCAAAGCTCATCTAAAGAGCAAAGCTAACCCGGAGATATCTCAGTACTCTGAATTCTGGCTGAACTAACAACTAACAAGAACTGAGGAACTGACGCTCTCGTCAGTCTTATATAGTTTCCTCCCAGCCTCCGAGAGATCTTTAGTATTTTTTTCTTCTCGAAATTATTGGAAGACATATGAGAACTGGATGCGGTTGAAGTTACATACAAAAACAATTACAGTTATTTAATTGCAACACCAATTACGGTGATACAGGGACTGCTACTAAATGTCGCCAAATTGGTGACAAAAATTAGTCACTAAAACCATTGCCAGCTTGTCGGTATCTCGCCAAATTAGCGAAATAGCCATTACTCAATGTTAATAGACTTGCTCCGGATTTCTTACTTTTCCAACAGTGCATCTGTTCACTCATTTTCTCATGTTACATTATATAGAGAAATACAACAATTTCACATATAACTTCACTAAAATTATCTATCTATGTACAAAATTCGTAACAATACATTATTTTTACGTTTTATGAAATATAATTTTATTAAACGAAATATAGTACGAAGTAGCATAGGAAGCAAATTTGCAATGCTAAGTACTTTGAAATTTTCTGAAAAAAAAACTTCGAAACTTATAAACACTTTTTAAATTTCCGTACCTTTTGCATTTCTTTCTTGAATTATTTGTCTTCATGAGGAACTTAAATAATTTCAGAAGAATAAGTTGTTACAACGAGTCAAAGTTCTTATATTGTAGTTTCCGAGATTTCCTTTTTTACAATTACATAAAATATAAAGTGCCTCTTACTAAATGAACGTAAGAAATGTATCTATAAAATCTTTATGAATAGATATTGGTACGAACTTTCTATATATGTAAATAGTTTTAGTGAAATTACATGTAAATTGTAGAATTTCTTGTATAATGTAATATGAAAGGCTCAGAAAGCGAAGCATCGCTGGAAATATAGAACTACAGGGGTAAGTCTGTTTTGATATTGAGGTAAACACTTAGCTTGCCAAATTGACGAGATCTCGCCAGGTGACAGGTGATGGAGGACGGGGACGCCTGATGTTTAACAGAGGTAAACAGGCATATGTCCCGCGCCCTCCCCTATCTAGTGGCAGCAACTCCCAGAAGCCTCATGAGGCCACCTTGGGAGTTTATTGAAGAATTTTACGTAATTGTACATGGCCATACAGAGGCGTCTTAGGAATACATTAATTTTGATCGATAGGCGGATGATTTGTTACATCTTGGTTTGTTAGACACTGTGAAACACTAATTACAGCATATACATACACATACAAGTGCATACACTTGCACATATAAAGATACATACAAAACACTTGTAAAACACATATAAAAGCACATATATAATACATATAAAACATGTAAGCACATTATATAAAAATAGAAATTAGATACTAGTTTGCACACACTTATACAAGTAAAACACATACTTATAATGAAACATATTTAAGCTAATATATAGTATACACTTACACTAAAGACACATTTAGATCACATATCACATGTAAAATGCGCA